AGCCTGAACTACAAAGCAAGACCCTCTCTCAAAATACAACACAACACAACACAATACAATACAAGGCCAGGCGTGGTGGCACAGGCCTATAATCCCAGGAATCAGGAGGCTGAAGCAGGAGGATTGCTGGGAGTTTGAGGCCAGCCTGGGATACATAGTAAGTTCAAGGCCAGCCTGAATTACATAGTGAGACCTTGTCTCAGAAAACTAATAAATATGGGCCAGTGGTTTTGCCACCTGATGCACAAGCGCAAGGACTCGAGTTTGATCTCCAGTACCAAAACAAAAACAAAAACAAAACTAATAAATAAGGCCAGGGATGTAGCTCAGTGGTGCTGTGCCTGCCTGGCAAGCTCAAGGTCCTGAGTTCAATCACCAGTACCGGAAAAAAAAAACACAAAAAACTAATGAATAAATAAATTAATTAAAATAAAACAGGAAAGAAAGAAGGCTTGCTGTTTCCTGCCTGCTACACCATGAACTGTCTCTCCTCTGCCATGTCCCTCTGCCATGCTCCACTGCCTCGAAACCAGACTATGGGCTGAAACCTCTACAATATGTGAGCTAAAATAAACCTTTCCTCCTTTAACTTGTGGTTGTCGGGTATCTTGTCCCAGCAACAAGAAAGTTAACTAAGACACTGCCCCAACTTTTCCAGCATCAATCATAAATGAACCAATACCATTATCCATATTAATAGGGCAAAGGACAAAAACCATAATTAAAATCCTGGGCTCTCTATGATGAGCGGAGGTCCCACACTGTTCATGTTATCTTCTAGTGAGATCCAACCATAGTGTCCACATGTAAGGAACACCTCTGCTCCAGGGAAAGATAGCCGGAGACCTGAAAGTGGGCAGCAGCTGGACCATGACAGAGCTGGTGGCTCTGCTCCTCCACTTGCTGCTGTCTCTGGGAAGCCGGTGCCAAAGCTAAGGGGCCTCCAGGGCACAACAATCTCCTTCCCCAGGGAGGGCAGAAGATGCCAGCGAAGAAGAGAAAATCCTCTGGGGTGGCAGCAGCAATAGCAGAATATAAAGGTTTGAAAAAGTGTAAAATCTTCAGCTATTGCAGATCCAGATCCCCTGCTGAATAGTAAGTGGAGAGTAACACTGTTGAAGCAAGTGCTTGGCTTGGTTTTATGAGTACCCAGATTCTGAAGAAGTTTAGGGCCAGAAGGAATGGAAAGATTTTGTGAAGACACTGTTGTTGAACTTTAAATTATGCTAGTTTTAGTGTGGAAATTGGAGGCTGAAAGCATAGGGTTTTTTACAAAGGAAGAATGGTTAAAGGGAATGACTTCATTACAGTGTGACTGCACAGAAAAGTTAGAAAACAAATTTGACTTTTTACCCTTAGCTGAATGATATTTTGTCATTTAAGAATATATACAGAGGGGCCGGGGATTTAGCTCAGTGGTTCTGCCGCCTGCTGAGCAAGCACAAGGACCCAAGTTCGATCCCCAGTACCAAAAAAAAAAAAAAAGAATATATACAGAAAGCTGGGTGTGGTAGCACATGCTTGTAATCCCAGCAGTGAAGAGGCTGAGGCAGGAGGATGGATGTGCATTCAAGGCCATCCTGGACTACCTACATAGAGAAACCCTTTCTAACCCCCGAACCAAAGATGTGCTATGTACATGTACTCACTCCTCACAATGAATGTAATCATTAAGTACTGTAAATATATACTAATAAAACTAAAAATTTATTTCTGTATGTTCGGGCTGGCCTTAAATTCACTACGTAGCCCAGGCTGGCCTTGAACTCACAGCGATCCTCCTGACTTAGCCTACCAAGGGCTGGGATTACAAGTGTGCACCATGCCTGCTAAAAATTAAAATTAAAAAATAATTTTTTTTTGTATCGGGGATCGAATAAAAAATACTTTTTAAGGGCTAGGGATTTCGCTCAGCAGCACAAGGTCCTGAGTTTGATCTCCAGTACCAGAAAACAATAATAATAATAATAATAATAATAATTTTAAGTAAGTGTTTCCTTTTTTTTTTTTTTTTTTTTTTTGGTACCAGGGATCGAACTTGGGACCTTGCGCTTGCATGGCAGGCGCCGGAACCACTGAGCTAAATCCCCAGCCCTAGCTTGCCCATTTTTAACAGTTGTGGATATGCATTATTTCAAATCTGGGGCACTAAACTAAAGGAGACTTCTAAAATATTTTGAACTATCCCATTTCAGATGAACGTAATTTACTTTTGGATACAATGCCACTGCTCTTCATGAATTTAGCTCCAAAAGACAGAAGTGACGGATATATTTTTTTAAACAGTTTTGCCGAGGTATAATTTATATACCATGCTGGGCATGGTGTCTCATCCCTGTAATCCCAGCACTTGGGAGGCAGAGGCTGGAGGATCGCCATAGGTTTGAGGTCAGCCTGAGATACATAGTGAGTTCAAGGCCAGTCTGAACTACATAGCAAGACCCTGATCAAAACAAAACAACAAAAACTCCTTAGGGACTGGAGGGAAGGAGAAAAAAAAGAAAAAGACAAACTGAAATGTGTTATGTAAATGTACCAATTCCCTACAGTGAATGTAATCATTATATACTAAAAACATGTACTAATAAAAGTAAAAAAAAAAAATCCAGGCCCAGACCAGAGTCCTCCCTGCCTGGCTCTGCACGAAATCCAGACTGGGTAATGTTGAGGCCAGGTGTCCACCCTTGGCCCACGACCCTCCCAAGCCCTGGCCTCAGCCTGCCTCCTGGAACCTCATGCTACCATGCCCCCCATGCCACCATGCACTGTGAGTGGCCACTTGAGCCTGCATCGTGCCCACCTGGCAGAGCCATCCCCAGCATATGGAGACCCTCACCCCTGTCCTCAGGTTGCCCTCAGCCTGGGAATGGAGGGAGGCATTTTCTGCCACCACAGCAGGCCCTTGGAGTGGCTTTTCAGGGCGCCCTTGGGCTTGCTGTGAGAACCCGTGGGCGTTTCCCAGGGGATGGAATTCTCTGGGCACAGACCTCTGTCTGGCCCACACCTAGTGTCCTTGCCTGCTCCTTCCTGCCTGGCCAATGAGGCTGGCTGGGACCCCAGGGTCGGTTCCTTCGGGCTCTTTGCCGCCGTGGGTGCTCCCCAGGGACAGCTGAGTTTCCACCTGCTCCTGCCCTGATCCAACCTTCGGCCCCACAGCAGTTACTGGTCAGAGCAGGCACTCATCACGCGGTTACAGGAAACATGCGCCATGTGGGGCTGTCAGACAGGGCAGGGGTTCAGACCTGAACCCCGCTCCCTCCCGGCTTCGAGTTGAAGCTTTTGTTGTTTTTGGATAAGATCTCGACTTGTAGACCAGGCTGGCCTCGAACTCAGGCGATTTTCTTGCCACAGCCTCCAGAGGCCACTAGGCCTAGCTCAATCTCGGCTTCTAACAGATGTCTCGTCTCATCTTTCCCAGGTCCTCTGGCTCCCGGGCCGACTCAGGAGTCCCGTCTCGGGCTCCTCTTCCCGGGATCCCGGGCTCTAGGCTGTGTCAGTCCCCGGCCTGTGCCCACTACCTCATCCGGGCTAGCCCTTCCCGCGCACGGGGGCAGCATCTCCTGGGAGTGCCCCTGCAGGGCAGGCTGAGGAAGGGACTGAGCGGGCAGAGGGAAGCTAAGGACTGAGGGACGCAAGAAACTGGGGTCTGGCAGGGACCCCGGCGGCCGGCTCTGCGGGCACTGGGGGCGGGGGCGGGGTGTGAGCAGAGCCTTATGTGGGCGGGGCCAATCGAGGCTAAGGCGAGGGGCGGATGGACTTCCTTCCCGGATGCGGGGCGGGGGGCGGGGCAGGGATGAGGGCGTAATGGGTGTCAGGTTGGAGTCGGTGGCGGTGCTGAGGGTGCTGGGAGTGGGGGTCAGAGTCTGAGGGCGGGGTCAGTGCAGAAGGCAGGGTCAAGTGTTGAGGGATGACTGGAGTGGTGCTGAGGGAAAGATCTGGCTCTGGGGGCGGGGCCGGGAGCAGAGGGGAGAAACCAGCGCGTGCTGGAGGCGGGGCCAGGGTGCTGAAGGCGGGGCCAGGGTGCTGAAGGCGGGCCCGGGGCGGTCCTGAGGGGGAGGCTCGCGCGCTCGGGGCGGGGCCAGGAGCCGAGTTGAGGAAACGGTCGCGTGCTGGGGGCGGGGCCAGGGTGCTGAAGGCGGGGCCGGGGCGGTCCTGAGGAAAGCTAGCGGGGTTGAGGTGCCGCCGGGCCGGCCTGAACGAGCGGGCGCAGAGGGCCGGGCCGGGCCGGGCCGGGGGAAGGCGGGCGGGGCTGAGCCCGCGGGCTCCGGGCGGGCCGGGGCGGGGCGGAGGTGCGGTCGGCGATAGCACTTTTTCAGGTATCGCCTCGGCTCCACGTCGCCAGAGGGCCGGTGGGCTGGAGCTTGCGGAGCCCAGGCTGGTGGCAGCGTGCGGAGCTATGGCGGGGCCCGGGCCAGGGGACCCGGACGAACAGTACGACTTCCTGTTCAAACTGGTGCTGGTGGGCGACGCGAGCGTGGGCAAGACGTGCGTGGTGCAGCGCTTCAAGACGGGCGCCTTCTCTGAGCGCCAGGGAAGCACCATCGGCGTGGACTTCACCATGAAGACGCTGGAGATCCAGGGCAAGCGGGTCAAGGTGGGCCGGGCGGGGACGGGGACAGATCTTTCCCGGGGAGCCCCTCGCGGCCCCCACACCTGGAGAGCAGCTGGCGGGGGCGAGCAGGGACCAGGAAGTGGCGGCTTCTGAGGCTCGAGGGCTGAAAGTTTCTGCCCGAATTTCCGGCCTGGCCACGCCTCCTCCCGCGCAGTTTTGTGGCCCCGAGGGCTGTGGCGGAACTTTCCTCGGTCCCCTCCCCCGCCGGCCCGAGCGGTCCCAGAACTCGGCGGATCCGGAAGGGGGAGGGGAGCGAACCGGGCTCAGCCACCGAAAGGGCCGGCAGGATGTGGCTGCCACCGTGACCCGTGGCGGCGGGATGAGTGACAGACACTTAAGATGAATGAAATCGAGGTGCCAGCCCCCGCGACGGAGCAGGAGACCGAACAGGACCCGGCACTGCGGGTTCTGAACTGCACTCTGCATGCAGATGCGCGGTTCCAAGTTCACGGGTCTCAGGACGACCCTGGAGAGCTCAGGGGAGGAGCTGTCGCTGTCGCTATTGTTTCCCACAAGTGGGAGTCACTTTGGTGGCTCTGCCTGTCTGGGTGCTGCAGGTCTGCTGGTGATTGCCTTTGGCTGGGATAGTTAGCTCTTTGTTTCTGTAAAATTGGGATAATTCCCGGGGTGTTGCCTCCCTCCTGCCCCACCATGGAGGAAAAGTAAGGCATCAACCTTTATAGGATGGTGGGGCCTCTAGAATAGAGGGGACTGGGGAACCGGGAACTCCTGCCTCCAAGGTTTTCCAGTCTTTTTGGCTGCAGGGTATTTTGATCTGCACAAGGTAAACAAAGGCAGATTGCAGGCAGCCGCCTGGAGTCATTTGGGGACCACCCCTTTTGGTGCAGGTGGCAGGGAAGGGCAGCTATGGGTGGAGTGTACCCTCGGTTGAGCCTGTGCCCTGGGGTGATGCCAGCAGCCACACTGAAAGGGCAGTGGAAAACAGAGGCGCCCATGAAGAGCAAGAGTCCTTCAGGAAAGCAGCTGGCTGTGTCCGCAGTGTTTGTGGTGGCCCTGTGCTTTTGGTAGACAGGGAGGGGGCGGGGCTCTTGTTTACCTGTCCAGATAACAAGTGTGGCCCAGCAGGGCTGGGCGGACTGTGCACTCGGCACAGGTTATGTAATGCAGGTCCAGCAGTTCATTATTTCTTTTCCTTGTCACCTCTCAATTGCGAGACTTAGGAAGTGGCCTGGTGGGGCTGTGTAAAAGCCCAAGCACCTCTCAACCTCTCAGAGTTATAGCAGCTGCCCTTCTGGGGAGGCTGCTGTGAGCCAGCGATTGTACAGTGTGCTCTGCTCACCAGAGGGCATTCTGATTGTAATAATGATATTTTTTTTCTTTTGATACTGGGAATGGAACTCAGGACCTTACAGTTGCCAGGCAGGTGTGGTACCACTGAGCTAAATCCCTGGCCCGTGATAATGTTTTTTAATACTAGGGATTGAATCTAGGACCTTAAGAATGCTGGGCACATACACTGCCACTAAGCTACACCCTCTGGCCCTAGAGGGAATTATTACCCTTGGTTCATTGTGCACGGGCTTGCCTCAGACACAGCCAGGGAGTGACAGGTGTGGAAAGGTTCTGCCGAGTTTTTGTGACTCCAGAGCACTGAGCTCTTTACCTTCCAGCAGACTAGAGGTAGGATGAGTTGTTTGCAGGGGGAAAGCCTTTAGCAGTGATTTCCCTCCTCACTTTGCAGTAGGGGAATCCTGAACCCCAGCCCCCAAGAAAGGCTGGAATTTAACTCAGCAGCAGTGAACATCATGGGAACCCCGTCCTTCACCTTAGGAGAGCAGGGTTCTCTTAACTAACTCAGCAGGAGTGAGTCATTTTCCCCTCCTGGAGTCTGTCTCCTCATCTGTAAAGTATCTTGGAGGGGTCTTTAGCCCTTCATGTGATTGTGTGTGTGTGTGTGTGTGTTACTGGGGATTGAAACCAGGGCACTGTACCACTGTACCACTTGCTATGTGGTTGAGCCTGGCTTCATGGCGATCTTCCTGAGGGCTGGGGTTATAGGGGTGTGCACCACCATGTCTAGCCTTTATTTTTTATTGTGAGATAGGGTCTTGATAAGTTGCCCAAGCTAGACTTAAACTTGCTCCCTTCTTGCACTGTGATTTTCTTTTTTTAAAGTCACTTGTCACAGGCTGCGTCTGAGGGTCCTCAAGGCCTGAAATAAGGAACTCATCCCTCCCCTTTACAATAAGTAGGTGGGTTCCCTGACTTCTGTTATGGAAAAAGAATATTCAGAACACAGCGATAAAAGAGGTTTGAGAAGGGTTTATTAGGCGGAGATAGAGACACTCTCAAAAGGGGAGTGCAGATGCCACAATATAGTCAGGAACTGGGGATCTTTTGTGTGTTTTGGGAAGTGGAAATCTGTGGAATTTGATAATCTCTCACCTTAGTCTTGGTGGGTGGGAGAGGATGGCCCACCTCTAGTGAGATAACGCTCTATTCCTAGGGGAAATGGCAAAAGGGTGGCCCTTTCATGAGTGAAAGAGAACCATTTGCAAGTAAAAGGGAATGGGCAGACCCGAAAGGGATTTGCCCTGGTTTGATGATTTGGGAGAAGGAAAAAAAAGTAAATAAACTGGGCCTGTGTTCAGAAACTGCAGTTTTTCTTTAAAGTACAATCTATTTATTTATTTATTTATTTATTTATTTATTTATTTATTTATTTTCCCGGTATCAGAAATTGAACTCAGGACCTTGGACTTGCCAGACAGGCTTGGTGCTGCTGAGCTATGTTTCCCAGTCCTAAAGTACAGTTTTTAAAATCTCGATTTCCTTGTCTCCTTTTTACCTAGCTTTATTTCTTCTATCCTATCTCAATTTTATTAAGGTTTAATTTGCACGCAGTAGACTCTGCTCATTTTGAATGTACAAATCTATGAATTTGACAGATATTTACAGACATGTAACCTCCACCACGATCAGGAGAGAGGATAGTTTCATCAGCCGAGAAAGTTCCTGGTATTTTTGTAGCCAGTTCTCTCTTTTCACTGCATCTCCTGGCAACCACTCATCTGTTTCTGTACTTTAGTTTCAGCAACATGATTTTAGTTGGGATCTTTTTGTTTGTTTTTTTGTGATAGGATCTCACTATGTATCCCAGGCTGCCTTGAACTCACTCTGTAGCCCAGACTAACCTCGAACTTGCAGGCTGAGACAGGAGAGTCTCTGAGTTCAAAGTTAGCCTGGGCTACATAGGGAGACCCTGTCTCAAAACAAAACAAAACAGAACACTTGTTTGTAGTGCTGGGAACGGAACCCAGGTCCTCACACACACTAGGCAAACTCTACATCTGAGTGCATCCCTAGCCCTTTTTACTTTCTTTACATTTATTTATGCTTTGATTTTTTGAGCCAGGATCTTGCTGTAGACTTCAGGCTGCCCTTGAACTTGTAGTGATCCTACTGAGGCATCAGGCCCTGCTCTTTTATTTTGAGACAAGGAGGTCGTATTAAGTTGCCCAACATAGCCTTGAACTAGGGTTCCTCCTGCTATAGTCTTCTGAGTAGCTGGGATACAGGCTTTTATCACCATACCCAGCTCTCCTTAGCTTGTTTTTGAATGGATAATCCATTCATATGATTCAAACCAATTTAAATTTCAAAGACTTAAAAGGACATACTGTATAAGAGCCAGGCATGATGTGCACACCTGTAATCCCCAGGGCTTGGGAAGTTGAGGCAGGAGGATCATTGTGAGTTCCAGGCCAGCCTGGGGTACATAGTGAGTTCAAGGACAGCCTGAAGTACCTAGTGAGATTCTGTCTCAAAAAGCAAAAACAAAAAAGGAAAAAAAAAGATATATAGGAAAATGTTTGTCCACCTTTGTCCCTCAAGCTACCTAGTGTCCTCTAAGAAGAAGCAGTGTTGCAAATTTCTTGTTTATCCTGAAAGATAAGGATTTCTTATGTTTAGATAAGACCAAAATTGTATAATGTTAGGCGGGGGATTTAGCTCAGTGGTGCCACTGCCTGCCTTACAAGCCTAAGGTCCCGAGTTTGATCCCTAGTCCAAAAAAAAATGAAACCAAAAAACCAAAAATGTATAATGTAAACCAATATAAGGGCTGGTTTCATTATTGGTGTTCTTACCACTTTCCTCCCAAGATGACAGGAGTTGTCTGAGTTAGCCTCTCCCTACCTCCTCTTCCTCTCTACACTGTCCCCCAGGAAATCTCAGCTGCTTCCAAATCCCTGAAACACTCTAACTGGCTCTTGTCTTCCCTCTTATCTGGGACAGCACAAAGGTCTGTTATATAAATAAAGTGAGTTTTGCAGCTTACTAGGCACACGGGCTCAAGTGCAGTGCTGAGGTCGACTTTGTCTGCACTGCACCCCTTTCCTCAGTGCTGCTTATTGGGGATGCTGCCAGGTGTCTGCTGCAGAGAGGTAGTCTGTGCCCTTGGGCCTGGGCCTGCAGGTTGCAGGACCTTTGGTCTTGGTGTTCAGCTGCCCTTGGCCTAGAAGTCATTTTTGTTTTTCTAGCAGTGCCTGGTATCTCCCAGAGAAGGGGGCAGGGAAGGCTAAAAGGAAATTTTTTTTCCTTTTTAGTGTCTGGGTTTGAATCCAGAGTCTTGTGCATGTTAGTCAAGCACTCTACCCCTGAGCTCCACCACCAGCCCAGAAATGTTGTTGTTGCTGTTGTTGATGCTGTAGGTGTTTTAGATGTGCCTTCTCAGTTCTTCCCATTGGGGGTCTGGTTTTGGTCCTGTATGTTCTCTCTTTTTTTTTTTTTTTGGTTCGGATCCTTGTGCTTGCACAGCAGGCAGCGAAACCACTGAGCTAAATCCCCGGCCCTGTATGTTCTCTATTTGGATAAAATCAGTTTGACTTTCATTCTTGATCAGAAATAGCAAAAAGACTGTTAGATAAGAGAAGTTCTGGGTCATGCTGGTTTTCTAAAGAAATCTGCTCTTGATACCAGTGGCAACCATCCTGGTTGCAAAATAAACTTTGCCTCCTGAG